TAGTTCATGAACATGTGTCTCAAATTCTTTAGATTCTGTATTTCCCCCTACTATTCTTACCCTCCCCCCCTATCTATTTTCTATCTACTGTCTATGCTACTTATTTTCTGTACCTTCTCCCCCCCTTCCCCTCCTCCCACTCCCCTGTTGCTAACCCTCCATGAGATCTTCATTTCTATGGTTCTGCTCCTGATCTAGCTATCCTCTTAGTTTGCTTTTGTTTTAGGTGTGGTTGTTAATAACTGTGAGTTTGCTGTCCTTTCACTGTTCATCTTTTTTATCTTCCTTTTCTTAGGTAAGTCCCTTTAACATTTCATATAGTAAGGGCTTGGTGATGATGAACTCCTTGAATTTGGTCTTATCTGAGAAGCACTTTATCTGCCCTTCCATTCTAAATGAAAGTTTTGCTGGGTAGAGCAATCTTGGTTGTAGATCTTTGGTTTTCATGACTTGGAATACCTCTTTCCAGCCCCTTCTTGCCTGTAAGGTCTCTTTTGAGAAATCTGCTGACAGTCTGATGGGGACTCCTTTGTAGGTGACTGTCCCCTTAGCTCTTGCTGCTTCTAGGATTCTCTCCTTCATTTTGATCTTGGCTAATGTAATTATGATGTGCCTTGGTGTGTTCCTTCTTGGGTCCAACTTCTTTGGGACTCTCTGAGCTTCCTGGATTTCCTGGAAGTCTATTTCCTTTGCCAGATTGGGGAAATTCTCCTTTATTATTTGTTCAAATAATTTTTCAACTGGTGGCTGTGCCTTTCCCCCTTCTGGTACCCCTATAATTCGGATGTTGGAACGTTTAAAGATGTCCTGGAGGTTCCTAAGCTTCTCCTCATTTTTCTGAATTCTTATTTCTTCATTCCTTTCTGTTTGATCATTTTTTCTTCCGTCTGGTCCTCTCCCTTGATTTGAGTCCCAATTTTCTTTCCATTACTATTGGTATCTTTTGTATCAGCATTCATTTCAATTAATTTAGCTTCCATATGTTTCTCTAATTTGTGACTAAAATCCACCAGTTCTGTAAGGATCTTTATAACCAGTGTTTTGAACTGTGCATCTGAAAGACTGGCTATTTCTTCATCACTTAGGTCTATCGGTTCTGGGGCTCTGAGTTGTCCTAGAGCCATTTTTGGTCTATTCGTGCTGTTAAGTGAGTGGAGCGAAGCCTTAGTTATTTACCAGGACGGGGCGACCCAGGTCGCTGGTTTGTGAAGCTGTGTGTGGGGGCGGGGTCAGAGAGGGAGCAATGGCGTTCCTCTCCGCTAGCCCAGCGCCTCCAGTCACTCAAACGTCTCGGGCTTGCTTATCCGATCCTAAGTGTGCGAGCCTGCTGCACCGCGAGGGTTTCCCTTCTCACTGGTTTCTCCGCACATAAATGCGTGCGACCAACCGACCCACCGCGCCTCTTCCCTGTGCGCTCCGGCAGCCAGCTTGCTGGCGATCAGCGCCCTCGGTTGCCTGCGCGCACCGCGCACCGCCCCGGGAATTTTTTCTTGCTAACCTGCTCCACTGCTGGCCTCGCTCCTCGTACTGGTCCAGCCGAGTATCTAGTTGTCCTTTGGACTCCGTATTGTCGATTTTCCGTGTGGCTTGGTTGTGACTGCTGTTAAAAATAGTTGTTCTTAGATTTGGTTGTGCACAGAGGTGAGGTGGATCCTCCACCTACTTCTCCATCTTGGCGGAAGTCCGTCCACCACATGTTTTAATTTGTTGTACTGGTAAGAGCAGGTTGTATTGAAGCTAGTTCTTCTGTGTGTACAATGTTTTAAGAATTCTCTTTTGCTTTTTTTCAGTTGTTTGTACTGGGTAGTTTCTCCACTATTTCATTGAGGTTTCCAGATAGGTCTTGGATTGAAGTCTTTGTGGTTTCTACTCCCTGCTTCACCTTCTTATGTTGTTATTTGTTGGTGGTTCATTTGTTATTGGGTTTCCTCTACCAGTGGGTATTCTGGAGTTCTCCACTTCCACCTACTCCTTTATTTGTGTGTGTGTGTGTGATCATTTGGAGGGGGAGGCAAAATGGTTTATGACAGCAGGAGAGTATATTATGATAATTACAGTCACAGCTGGTAGAGAAGAGATAGGAGATCTTTAGGCTATGTATAGTAATCTTCAACACCACTAGCCACTTTTAAGAAAGGATGGACAGGAGATAAGACTCTTGTTGGGGAGGAAAGGCTTGTGAGTTGCATCTAGAAAGCAGTGAGGTTGTGGGGGGTCAGATTCTGAGGTAAGGTGAGAGTAAAGGATGGTAAATAGGTGTAATGTGTGAGCAAATAGAGTTAATCACTATAGTAATAGAGTTCAGGAGACTGAAGAGGTCTAAGGTCTGGGAGATGTGTTGTGAAGTATTTACAGTTGTATAGAACAGCTATTATTTACAATAATATTAGAGCAACAATCATATGACAAACTCTATGTGATCTGGATAACATGAATAGGGAGTATAGAACTTTGGGTAGTGTGCTAAATGAAAATAAGTGTCATGAAGTATAGAAAATTAACAATATACTCTCAAAGAGAGAACAGGGGAAACCTGTCAAGTGATACAATATAACCAGCCAAGGCAAAGAAGCCTATACAGAAAGAGGTGGAATACAAAGATACTATTAACATGTAAAAGATGTGAGAATAATGAAAAAATAATAATATACAAGTATGCAGTAGCTTGTGGCTTCTCTGCTATAGCGAAGTAAAAATTGTCTCTCTGTCTCTACTGTTTGGGTGCTCCCTCTTTGGGTCCAACTCTGGTCTTTTCGCAGTTCTAAGTTGTTTGTGTCACTTGTGGGTAAAAGGGAAAAAAAGAGGCAGGAGAAGGGAGGAAGAAGCCATAAGTTTGGAAAGAACGGAAGAAGGAATAAAACAAAGAAGAAAAGAGAGGAAAATGTATTGAAAGATAAAACAATAATAAAATTAAAAAGATAAAAGATTACTTAAAAAAACAAAAAAAAATCAGAAAAAAAAAAGATGTCTTGTTGGCTTCAGACTGGCCAAACTGTTTTTGTTCTGATCTCAATGGCTACAGGTGGTTGAGGGGTAGTATTTCTGAGAGCGCTCTCTCCCCTGCATCCCTCTTGTGCGCACAGGCCAGGCTGCCTGGGTCCCTCGTGATAGGGCATAGACCCTTCCCAGTTCTGTGGGGGGGACTCTAGGTTTTCTGCCCAACCTCGGGATTGCTGCCAGGCTGGGTGGGGAGCAGGCCAAGTGGCTGTTGCAGGAGAATCCTTCAGTTTACTTTCCAAAAGATTTTTCCTTAAGAAAGCCTGACACTCAGCACAGCCCAATCCCCCATCCAAACCGGTGACTATCTGATTCAGAGCCTGACACTTCGCCTCTCACTTCTCCCAAGCTGGCAACTACAGAGTCCGAGGTTGATAATGGCCCTTTGTTTTTGTCACCCTCTCTGCAATCTCAAGCAAACAGGTCTCTCCCAGTTGTGTTGCCCAACCTTGTTTGGCTGGGGAGGGAGGGAGCTGATGACCCAGCTCTCTCCCAAGGACCTTTCGGTAGGCCTAGGGCTCCCAAAGACTCCAAGGAAGACCCGCCGGGCACCAGGCGCGCCAGTTGAGGGCCGAGACTGCTGCGTCTCCTGTCTCCACTTTGGTTCCTGAGACCCTACAGCCCTGCAGCTGTCTCCTTACCATCTGGTTTTTTAGTTTCCACTACAGTTTCTGGTCTCTTATTTTCATATGTGCTGGGGAACTGTTGTCTGTTTGCGCTGTTCCTCCATAGATCAGCCAGGATTTTCTTCCATGTGTATGGGAGAAATGGAATCTGCTCCCTTTTACTCCGTTGCCATCTTCCTTCCTGAGCTTACATTTTAAAAAAATATTTAATTAATTTATTTTTAGAGAAAGAGAGGGAGAAAGAGAGCAAGAGAAACATCAATGTGTGGTTGCTTCTCAAGCGCCACCAACTGGGGATCTGCCCCACAACTCAGGCATGTGCCCTGACTGGGAATTGAGCCAGTGACCCTTTGGTTTGCAGGCCATCACTCAGTCCACTGAGCCATACCAGCCAGGGCTTGAGCTTACATCTCCATAATCTAAAATTCACCATTTTAAAATGTATAAGCTCAGTGGCGTTTAGGATCTTCACAAGGCTGCATAACCATCACCATTATCTCATTGCAGAATATTTTCACCACACCAGAAAGAAAACCAGTCCTATTTAGCAATGATTTCTTATTCTACCCCCCTTCATTCCTGGAAACCACTAACCTACTTTTTTGTTTTTGTGTATATACCTATTCTGGATATTTCATTAGAATGAATCAAAATATGTGGCCTTTTGTGTCTGGCTTCTTCTACAGAGCCTACTTTCAAGGTTCATTCATGTTGTAGCATTTCTTTTTATTGTCGAATAATATTCCATTGTATAGATATACCACATTCTGTTTATCCATTCGGCAACTGATGCACATACAAGATATTTTTCTTCTATTACATAATAAGTGTACTGAACTCCTTATTTCACTGGTATGAAATCAGGCTAAGTTTAAAAGTTTTTCTTAAGGTTATATTTAAACAATTAAGCAAATAATACAATTCTATAATTCCAAAAGCTTTGAAACCATGTGTTCATGTGGCACAAATTCATTTGATGGCCAGACCTATCCTGAACTAACATGTGGCTATTTATAATCTTTGTTTCTTCAACTTTCACTCATTCCCCAAAAAGTCCTGCAAAGTCCTTGGCCTCATTCTCCTTGGCTCCAATGGAATCATCTACCCACCCCTAAGCCAGTCACAGATGCTCATTGAAATGGCTTACTCTGATGGGTGTGCCTAAGTCTGGGCCAATCCCTGTGGCCTGGTGGGGAATGGGGAGGGCACTTTCATTGACCAGACTTTAATTACTTGTCCACCCAGAGCCCACCCAGATCATGTGGAAGAGGGGATCAGGAGTAGCTTGGATGCTGTTTCCAGAGAGGGTGGGGAACTTTGGGCTGGCAAAAATACCAGGTGGTTGAGCTGTTTGTGGCCCACTTTGCTGTCTTTCAGGTGACTTGTACACCCGGGCTGCAGAGGCAGCGATGGAAGCCATGAAGGGCCGGCTGGCCAACCAGTACTACGAGAAGGCGGAGGAAGCATGGGCCCAGATGGAGCAGTGATGGGACAGGAAAATTCCTCTGTCTGTGGGCCAGTCCAAAGCAAAAGGATAAGGGGGAAAAAGATCTGACTTACAGAAGAGTTGGGGGTTGTTTTGGGGAAATGGGCAAGTATTTTTAGTGTGTTATAAATCAACTTTTTTATGTCATTTTTTGACTCTTGAAAATGTCTTTGCTATCAGCAAAGACACTATAGCTGTCCCCTAGGACAGGATTTGGGGGGGGGGCAGAGATTGAAAAAGCAGCCTAATGAACCAGTGTATCGTTTTGAGGTTCTTTTGTATTTTTGTCATGAAATGTAAGAAAGTGTTTTTCTGCCTTGGAATATATTGAGGCTTTGCTCACTGATGCTTTCAGGCTGGACTAGGCCCACAGAACCCATGTTTCCTGAGCTGGATTGAGAACATATTGCTGCATATAAACTCTCCATGGGGTTGTGTATTGTCATGACTTGGTGCAAAGCCTCCGTTCTCAGCATTTGGAAGCATACATGGCACAATGCCATGTATGCTTGGTGGTACAACACCCTGGCTGCTTCTGCCATGGAGGAAGGATGCACACTGACTGTTGTCTCATCTTTTAGTTTAATTTTCTTCCTGAAAAGCAACTGACTTCATGGAATACAGCCAAATTCCATTTTTAAGCATGCTTTCCACAAACGGCTTTACAAAACAGGTTTGGTGTTTCTACGCACATTTACTACCTCTGACTCTTCTGCCAGCCAGTGTGAAGGTGGGTGTGCCTCAAGACTTTTACATGGAAGGACAGTGGTTTGGCATGGTGAAGCCTCTCCTCCAAGTAGAAATCTCAGTGGCAACACCCACAACATGACTCAAGTATGCCTTGTATAGGACTTCTTCATGTTTTCTTAGTGCCTGATATTCCACCATCATCCTTCACATTTTCTGTTTGAAGCCAGGCTGATTTCCTTGTAATTCACAGCAGGATGCTTTCAGGAGCAGCCCATTGAGATGAATTTACCTCGTTTGAGAATGTGAGGTCTAGCTTTGCACAGTGTCAGTATCATAGCCAATGAGGTTTATCTGAGAATGAGAGGTCAAGAACTAACTCTAAACATTCATTAATTCTAGTAGTTTCCACTAGGCCAGGCCATGGTTAATTGTATATAATGAGCTTTTTCTTTAAAAGAAATTCAATAATATCAGTGTGATTCAGTTGGTATTTCAAATATAGCAAAGAAAACAGACTGCTTTGATCAACCCCAAGTGATTAAGGAGCTTCTCTTTCTTTGTGTAAAATCAGAGTGCAACATACAAACGATTCTTATTTGTTCATTGAAAGAGGTCCTTGCTATGGAACTATGAACCTGTGCAAGCATTAGGTTCCAAAGTCCAAAATATGCCCTAAAGGGAAAAATATCAGGCAGAGCTAAAAAAAAAATCACCCTTGAGAAGTCCTTTAGAGTATCTATAAATGACAGTATCTCTTATTTGTATGTAGACTCTTTATAGCCAGTTTCCTCTAGAAGTTAGAAGTGATCATTCTTTCTCTCTGTGATAGACCAGGTAGTTTTTGTTTTAAACCAGTGCATACAATTAAATTGCATATGTTAAATGTAAGCTACAAGCAAAGTGTTGTGACTTTTCAAAGTAATCAAGCCTTCAAACAATCCATGCTTTTTTGTTGTCATTAATTCAGCCAGTCTGCTTTCTCTCTCTGAGACTTTATTAGGCCCATCATTTGTTCCCTATCTATCTCATTTCTCAGTTATGTATACATGCTTTTCTTTAACACAGGGATTGGAAAACTTTTTTGTAAAGAGCCAGAAAGTAAGTAGTTCAGGCTCCATGGGGTATATGGGCTCTGTAGTGGCTTAACCTTGCTGTGGTAAAGCAGAAGCAGCCATGGACAACACCTAAATGAGTGGGCATGGCTGATGTTCCAATAAATCTTTACTGCAAAAGCAGGTGGCCTGCCTGGGCTGCAGTTTTCCAACCCCTGCTCTAATCCTTGACTGAGAGTATTTGTATTAAGCTGTGGATATGAGCTATCCCAATTTTCCATCCTCTAGAGCTCAGACACACCATGCAGTGGCACAGAGTAGGCATTCAATAAATGTGGGAACAAATAGATAGCCACCCTTAGTCATGGCACCTCCTCTTTGTAGCTCTGGTTCCTCCAGCCAGTCAATGACTCATGGTCTGAATTGGCTTGAACCACCACCCCCACATTTCCACACACCCATGTAGCCTTAATGCCAGCAACTGATTGGTTGCCCAGGACATTGTGATGATCTGTATGTAGAGTTAAGCAAATTTTTTTAAGGACCATTGAGAATAAAATAATCTGTAGGCTGTTGAGATCCTTCTGAGCCAACAAAAGAACTTATTCCACCCTCAGAACCTGGTTTTGTGCCTTCTAAAGTTTGTCAGAGCATTTTCTTTCTCCATAAATGCTGAGCACGCATTCCTACTGCCCACTCCCCGCCCTACCCACACACACACACACACACACACACAAAATAACCAGCACAGTCCAGACCCAACTGGAAGAATATCAAAGACTGTCTTCAAATCTTCAAGTGCAAGAAGTAGGTGAATGTCTGGGAGATTAGATAAGAATTGGAGATTTCATCTGGTACCTTCAATCACAGATAGAGAAATTGAGGTTCAGAAAGGTAGAATCTTTCACAGGGATAGTGCTGGTTAGCCACTAAGCTAGAGTTGAAATTTGAGAGCTGCTGTTACTCAGAGGATCCTGGGAATAAAGTTTAAAGTTAAACTGGACTGTAATGTCCCTTTCAGCTTTGCTATAAGTGGGGGTTGGGGGAAAGCTTTATGAATGTAAAAAAGAAAAAATCCTGAACTTTTGGTGCATCTGCATATTCCTCTTCCCTCCCCCTCCCACTGAGGCACTGTGGGAATTTATCATGAAATGCCACTTTCATGATCCAGCCAGATAAACTACACTTTTACTATTTTATTAACTTCATTCTCCTCCCCCACCCCTACCCTTCTGTTTGCAGTACTCAATATGTTTTAGCAGTTAACAAATGTTTACACAAGTATATGCAGCTTGTGTGGGGGAAAGGAGACAAAATATGCACATTATCTGTGCGGATTTGTGCCTATTATTCATGTTTCTAGTTTCTCGCATAACCATTAGAGAAGGTGGGCACTGGATGGGACCCAGAGAAGTAGCATTTGGTATAGATTTATCTTTGCATATGTATTAAATTTCATTTCATGTTTCCAAATAAAATGGTTTCTTTCCTTCCAGTCTCAAATTCAAATGTCTTGTGGTAGCAAACAAGTGGAGGAGCCGGCTGGAGGCAGAGGTGAACTGGAGGGTCCCATATGAAAGGGGCAACTGTGATTCAGCTCCAAATCATTGTTGCCATGGAGCATGTGGGACCATTCTCCCACACATGGGGCAATGTGCTCCATTTTCTTTCTGGTTTCTCAAAAACTGTTGAAAATTAGATTTTTTAATGCAGGGTCTTCTGATTTTCAACATTACTAATCAGTTCCGAATTTTTTAAAAAGCCTTCTAGATTGCCCTGGCCAATGTGACTAAGTTGGTTGGAGTGTCATCCCATAACCAAAAGGTTGCACGTTCTAGTTCCCATCAGGGCATTTACCTAGGTTGTGGGTTGGATTCCCAGTCCCAGTGCCTGTGTGGGACAGCCTATGGATGCTTCTCCCTTGCACTGATGTTTCTCTCTCTTCCTTCCTCTCTCTAAAAGCAACGAAAAAGGTGTCTATGGGTGAGGATTTTTTTTTCAAAAAAGCTGCCCTGGCTGGTGTGGCTCAGTGGATTGAGTGCCAGTCTGCAAACTAAAAGTTTGCCAGTTCAGTTCCCAGTCAGGGCACATGTCTGGGTTGCAGGCCAGGTCCCTGGTTGAAGGCATGTAAGAGGCAACCAATAGATGTACCTCTTGCATGTAATGTTTCTCTTTCTCCCTTCCCCACTTTCTAAAAATAAATAACCACAATCTTTAAAAAAAAAAAAACCTTTCCAGATTTAGCCCTTATGCTCTCCTTGTGCTATAGATAAAGTATATGAGCCTCTCTTTTTTCTTGATTTTTCTCAGCTATAAAGCAGAAAGAATAATCTTTACCATTATGGAGTTGTCATCGACTTCAAAGAAGAGTATGCATATTAAAGATGTATTGTCATTCAAAGCTTAAGAAAATCTTGGCTATAGGTATGGTCATTTGGTTTCAAGCTGATGATTTTTTTAACTTTTAAGGAATTTGAACACTAGCATAGCTGTGAGGGTAGGTCGAAGACACATAATTACATGAGAAGAAAGAGATTGTGTTGATGTCATAAGCCCAAGAGGATGAAGACAAAGAGGCATCAACAGCAACAAAGTTTTGGATGCTGGAAAACAGATGAACTATAATTGAATTAGAAATGTCTTCAAGAAGACTGAATCCAAGGTCAGCAGTAAGGAAATTTGACAAACAATACAGTTTTCATCACTGAAGAACCCCCCAAAAACTGAGGCATTGGTAAGAGAAACTGTCTTCATTCCAGATGGAGAAATAAAATGGAGCTAAAACTCTAGGTAGGGTCAGTTGAAAGACTATTAAAGCATCTGGCCCGACTGGTGTGGCTCATGTTACTGGGGACACCCAAGTCAGAGGCTCTCCTTCTTGGTTCTTGCCATGCTTGCAAGAGAATTCAAGTGAGAAGCAACACGTATAATGGAAATGAAATGCAAGTTTATTTATGAAATACCTTGAGCAGAAAGGCTACATACAAGTGGGCACAGCTAATCTGAGTACCTGACTATTTGGGCCTCAGCAATTATGTATATATACTTTAGCTAGCTTCTAGATACCCCTCCTTCTCCTCCTTCTAGACTTTGGGATCAATATACAGTTACAAGTGTTTTCTTTCTCAAAGGCTTTCTGTCTCAGTAGGATTGCTACAGAGGCGCCCTTTCCCAGCACAGGGTCTCATGGACTCCCCTGCTCCTGCTCTATTTTTGCCTGTAATGTTCAGAACGCCTGGCAATCTTATTGGACCAGACTCAGGACTGCTCAGTTAATGGATGAGACATGTCTCCCTCCTGCTTCCTGCCTTGGTTTACTATCCAGCCTAACAGCTCACTTGGTTGGGCATCATTCAGCAAAGCAAAAGGTATTTGGTTCAATTCCAGGGCAGGGCATGTGCCTGAGTTGCAGGTTTGGCCCCTGGTGGGGGTGCCTACAAGAGACAAACGATCAATGTTTCCCTCCCTCTCTCCCTCCCTTCTCCTCTTTCTAAAGATAAATTCTTAAAAAAAAAAAAAAAAGGTAC